CCCTCCCACCCCGAGCAGGAGCTGTCACCAGGGCATTTAGGACTGTGCGTTGGGGAGCGGATGGGAGCGCACTGGCAAAAAAGGAACCACTACGTTGAAGTCAACCCCTCCATCTTCACACACTAACCATCAGTAGCTCGCTCTCGCTCCTTAAAACAGGAGCCGCCTAGATTTCCATTTCTCACTGTATCCTAGTCTTGGCCAGTGCCACAGCCACCCTGAGCCACTCGAGCAAATTTCTGTCACACGTCGAAAGAAAGGCAATGGATTTCATGTCTAGGAAGCATGAACAGAGACTTAGCTTTTGATATTTTGCTGCAGTCCAACACTTATTAGGAGACAGAAAGTTTTAATTTAGAGAGTTTTATTTTTCAGTGCTCAGCATTATAGTTTTCTAGGCACTGAAATCAATACTGAAAAAGTATTGGAGACTTGAATACTAACAGGTGGGAAATCAACAGTAGGAAAACAAGCAGTGCTGGAAGGTCAGTGCCTTCTTGTTTACATAGTCCAGAGGCATTGTAAACCCAGAAGGAATGCATCCCTTCATTTTGATGCTCTTTCCCATTTAACTCCAGATAGTAACTTACCTACAGGTGTAAATTAAAGATTAGAAATGAGTTGGTTGTTTGGATTTTTTTAAATGGTACACCCACATATAATGAGATAATAAGGAACACCTTTCATGAAATATTGTACAGATTTTCAGATCACTTTGATGGATTTATTGTTTTCATTCTTTCTACATGTGTTAAAAATACTGACATTTTCTATTTTATTTGGTCTTCAAATATTTGAAATTAATTAGCCAAACTTTAGTCATCTCATTCTATTTGCCAATAATGGATCTGACAGTTGTCAGCAGTAGTAACTTGAAAGAAACATTACATAATTTTATTCTTTCTTACCACTTAGTGTGAAAAACTAAATTTGTAGCCACTTTCTTCCAGAAGTCAGGGTATTGTCAAGGGTACCCAATTAAAAACATGAAAACATGAAACTATGAATTGCTGTCTACTGGTGGTAGGCTTCTCTGGGCATCAGTTTTCTCATATATAAAATCAGAGTCATTCCCTAACTACCTCATAGGCTTATTTTGGAAATCTAATGTATATAGTATACTTGAATGCACTTTATACGATATAAAGTGCTGTACGTGTGTAAGGCGGCATTGCTATTGATTTGCTGAGCCAGTTAATTAAGCTAATAGGTGCAATTAATTTATTTCTATGTCATGGCAATTTCTCCCCAAATATTGAACAATTTCTGTTTCCTATAAAAGATCAGTTACCTGCAGAAATTGCTGACCGCATGCTTAGCTTGGTTTCTTGCATCATTCTGGTCTTCACCACCGGCTACGTAAAGAAATCCATCCATCACAGCAACACACTGGTTAAAACTCTTGGCTGGCATTTCTGTAAGTTTGTTCCATCCATTTTCAGGGTCTCTGTACAAAACATCTCTACTCAGGGACTTCTCAGTAAGGCCTGGGCGCCCTCCAATAGTGACCAGGACTCGACAGCCCCCCCGGATTCTTGTTCGCCTAGACTGCAGCGTGTTCTGATGATAGGGAAGTAAGTGGTAGTTCATAGCATCTACGAGGAGTTTGTGACAATCAGCATCTTGCATCATTCTTGGGACAGACTGAACACAGTTGACCAGGTCTTGTGCGGAGATGGTGCCAAAACGAATATTGCTCAAAAGATCTGCAGCATGTTTCACTCTCTTTTGGTCAAATTCTAACCATCTCATTGCTATCTGGAATGCTACTACCTCAGAAGGCAACTGTAGATCATCATCCATGAGAAGTTCATTAATTTGTTCAAATGTAAGTTTCATAAATTGATCTGACTCTGAAAATTCAAGGAAGTTGTCCCGGATGAATTTTTGGGCTGCTGCTTTTGCATTTTTCAGGGAATATGTCTCAGCGATGTTAACCACATACATACAGTTCTCAACACTTATCTCCCGGATTAGAAAATCACTGCACATCTTTACGAGTGTGTGGATCTGAAGGTACACAGCAGCAGAAAGGATGCTTCCGATGGTGTACAAGGACAGAGTCAGCTTGCCTGTGTAGGCGTACACAATGATGGTGGCCAGGCCCAGTGGGGAGATATCATTGAGATCCACCCTGCTGATTGATGGGTCTTTCTTTAGGATGTTGTAAAAGTACTCACTGCATGAAGCCATCACCGACTTGTGAACATCAAAGGATTTGGTTTTGGTACCGATGACTAAGTCACACAGGAAGTTTTCCTGCCGCATTTTACTCAAGCCTTCCAGGAGGTTGGGGCCATACGAAGCATCTGTCAATTCTGAAGAGATGCAGCTAAGGCCATTGCCTCCCTCTAGGAGCCCATTCAGAGCATTCAATTTGCTGAGGGGACTGTCTTCTACGATGATAGTCATCTCATTGATATCGGCTTTGTTCTTTTTGACTGTCTTCTTTTTGGGCGCCATGTTGGCAAATACACTGTCACAGGCAAGGGTTTACTAAAAAAAAAAAAGTAAAAGGAAGAAAAGAAATAAAGGTATGTTTTATTTCAGTTGTGCTTTGGACTTTGAAATACTAAATTGAGAAACTTTTTCATAAGATATAAGATAATGTTATTGTTTTTGGTACCGGGGATTGAACTCAGGACCTTGTGCTTGCAAGGCAGATGGCAGAACCACTGAGCTAAGTCCCTGGCCCAAGGTAATGGTTTTTAATGGCATAAAGTAGACTAATCTTCAAAGACAGATTTAAACACACTGTAAACTGGATGCACATTTTATTGAAAGTTTTTACTGCAATGTTTCATATCGAAGATGAGCCTCGGAAGCTTTATATGAACAAAAGAGATTTCTCAGTGGGTAAATTGCCAAGTAATTTTCTAAAAGCAAAAATGAACATCTCTGGTTCAACTGTGTAATAGTTATAGAATAGCAGTTAAACATTATTCAAAGGCCTTAATTTACTGTCATCCAAAAGTGCATTATAACCACTTTGAAGGTTTTCCTCAAATACTAAAATTTGGAATCCATGTAAAATTAGAAAATACTATGGAAAGATAAGTTTTACTCACAATGGCAATACAACCTATTATAATGTAAAATATATGAACATTTAGTAAGATCTGAGAGATGAGCACTATAGGATTTTACCAGAGATTTAAAAGAAAAACAACTGTACACCCTTCTCTTGTGCTTCTCCTTGTGTTGTGCATGCAGAAGGGTAGCAGCAGGTAGGCAAAAAATAAGAGAATGGCTTTCTTGCTGGGACTTTTGTGTTTCTCACTTAGCTCTAATTGTCACATTCACATTTAGATTTCTTTAAATGACTAGCACATACATTGTTCCTCATTACTTTTTGCAGATAATTATGAAACAAATTAACCTACCGTCATTTTAGTGTTCAAATGCATATGACTTTTGGGTGCCCCCTTGTTGGTTTACTGGGGGGGGGACTTTTAAGTATTTTCTTCAGCAAGCAGTTACCAGCTATTTGCTGCCAACAGGGAGAAGTTTGCTGAGAATTATGGAGCAGTTTAAAATGTAATTTCCACTAGGGAGACAAAGACGTGACAAATACAATATGGTAACTTACAAAATAATAAGCAAGCACAGCATAGTAAATTCTGGGGACAAAGTTGTGTCTGTATTCCTGGAGGAACCCAAGGTGCCAGTTTTTACTCACACACAGGGCTTATAAACATTTAAGGTCTTACAAGAAATTCTGAACCTCAGGACTAATTAGAGTGCTTCAGATTGAACAACTAAATATTTTATTTACCCATCATGAAAAGGGTGTTTAGTTGGTGGTATGTAGAGGTGAAATTTGAAATATTAATAAACTGTTAAAACAGGGTGCTAGTTAGTATCAGAATGGATTCAGGCCCCAGCATTGGTGCCCAGAGGGCCCTGGAATTCTTCAGCAACTGGATCATAGTCTGGCCCAGGATGGCCCACGAGAGGGCTGGGAGGTTGGGAGAAATTTAGAGGGGCTCAGGGCAGTGGCTGATTGGCTATTTATACTTTGACTTACTATATATAAAACAGTGGATATTCATATATAATGTGTGTATTCCTATATATAGGAATATACAATATTTACAGAGAACATTCAGCATTTTAAGATAGTGACATGCTGAGGAGAAGAATCGGGATTAGGAAAAGGATCGGCAGGGAATTCAGAACGGAGTGACCAGTGGACTCTAGCACAGTAAAACCTGATATTCAGTTTTAAACCTGCCTTTTCTACTCTGTTATGTTCCAAGTCACCCTTAAATGAGGCATCCTCGAGTGTCGTTAGTACAGTTGGATAAACTGCTGGCTGACTTGCTCTTCCTTTAAGGTCCCTGTATCAAGACCACAACTTTAAGAAGCTGAGGGTTGGAATGAGCTAGCAAGTGTAGAGAAGATGATTCAGTAGGGCATCAATAGCTGGACAAGGGGACAGCATAGGGCCACCTCAGCCCCAACACACACACACACACACACACACACACACACACACACACACACTGTGTGTGGCTTCCTCCTAAGAGCAGGCTGCAATGCTACAGCTTCAACATAAGGTAGTTTTGAGTAGAAGAACCAGAGGACAGAGTTGGTGACAACTGTATTCATTGGAAGGGTGGTGGGGAGGGGGCCTAGAAAGAGATTCAGCGAGAAGTCCCATAGAAACTGGAATCTCTGAGAAGTTCAGGGAGGTTAAATGTATGGAAGAACATTAGAAAACAAACTGCATTCTCCCTAAAGTTCTTTATAATAAATATGACTCTTCAGAGCAAAAATGATAGCATTATCTTGTGGAGCTTATAATGTATGCAGATGGAGCAGCAAGACAATTATAGAATAGACAATGGGGTGACAGAGGTAAAAGTACCTAAGCCACGGCATGGTTTATGCTCTGTTCTTTTTGTGTGTGTCAGACATCAAGCCGGAACTTTGTGCTTGCTATATAAATATGATTTCACTGGGCTACATTACCAGCTTGGTTTTCACATGAAGTGGTACATAGCAGGTCTATGTAGCTTATGAAAATTTAGCCTTGAATATTTTAACATCTAGAGAAGCGGCAACAAACCTATGGCACACGCGTTTTGTGTTTTTCTTTTTAAGACAGATGTTAAGGTAAGAGTTGTTTTTTCTGAACTGAAACCTCAATATTCAGCTTTAATTGCGGTGCTGGCATTTTGCGATAAATAAGTTGTAGTTTGGGCACTAGTCCCTAAAAGTTTTGCCATCAGAGTAATGCTGTTATATAAAAAGAACATGAGCCACATATGCCATTTAAAATTTTTTATTTGCTGCACTAGAAAGTAAAGAGAGAAAAGTAAGTTGTTAGTTCTATATTTTATTCAGCCAAATATTTTCTTTTCTACATGTAATTGGTATAAAATTATCAATGTGATATTTTACTCTTCATATTAAGTCTTCAAAGTGTTGGGTATATTTAGATTTAAATATAAAGTGCATCTCAGATTTTATTAGCCTGATTGCAAATGTTCAGTAATGAAATGTGATCGATGACTATTTTATTAGATGATAGGATCCTAGAACAACCACGTAAAAAATACAAAGTAAAAATCCAATAGATAAATTTAAATGCAATTCAAACAAGGACAGAAAAGTTGGAACAAAGAAACACAAATTGGAGGGAATCGACAGAATACAATTTGAAGGGCTGGGAATTTAGCTCAGTAGCACCTCACCTGCCTTGCAAGCACAAGGTCCTGAGTTTGATCCCAAGTACTCGAAAACAAAACAAAACAAAACAAAAAACAAACCCCAAACCCCAAACAAAAACAGAATACAACTTGATGTTAATCTAAATCCAACCATATTAATCATTTAAATGTTAAAGAACAAAACATTGTAATTAAAATGCACAGATTACCAGAATAGATAAGAAAAGTAAGACTAAAATATATACTCTCCACAAGAGACTCACTATAAACACACCAGTCAGTAAGAAATAAATGTATAGGGCTGGGGATTTAGCTCAGTGGTTCCACCACTTGCCTTGCAAACACAAGGTCCCAAGTTCAATCCCCAGTACCAAAAAGAAAGAAAGAAAATAAATGTATAGAAAAAAATTTACCATAGAAATAGTAAACATAAGTGGTAGATATATTGGATAAAATAAGACTATAAAAAACTTACTAGTAAAAGAATCATACCACAATGGTATATGTGCACCCATGTTCATAGCAGTACAATTTGTGATAGCTAAAACTCGGAAGCAGCCCAAATGACCATCAACAGGAGACTGGATAAAGGAAATAGCTGTTTTTTAAAAAAATAATAAAATGGAGTCTCATCCATAAAGAATGAGAAACTAGAGACATTTATAGCTAAGTGGATGCACATTGAGGTGATACTTTAAAGTGAAATAAATAGGACACACATATATGTAAATATTGAGTAGTTTCTCTAGTATGAGAAACTGAAAGTGTAAATAAGGACTAAAAGGTATAATAGATAATGTGAAATAGGAAGAAAAGGTGCAGAGGGGAAGCGGAATGAGAGGGGTAGGGGAAAAGAAAGATGGGAATGGAATTAACATGAGAAAAAAAATGGAAACAAAGTCTTTGTAGATAGGGAGGGGTGGAGGGGTTGAAGCAGGGGCAGGGGAATGGGGGAAAAAATGAGAACCAAGATGGATTAGGCAAAGGTGTAGTTTTCCAATGATGAATGTCATTACATCATATACCTTAAATGTACCAATAAAATTAATTAATAAAAAACACTGACTAGTGATAGAGGGATTGATTCAGCGCGAAGATGTGACCACCCTAAATGTATATCCTTAGGTATATAAGGACAGTGTGTCCCTAATAGCACCTATGAAATAGTACCTGGCAAAACTGAATTGAAAAAAAAAAAAAAAAAAAAAA